ACGAAACTAATCGTAGGATTTTGAAGAGGTTTAGACAAGGAACCTTAATATTTATAGTAATTTTACTATTTAATAAAATAAACATATATAATATAGTAATCTATCTATATATTAAAAAACACTGCAATCACTTGGGCGTTATGTTTAGATTAACCATATAAATAAGTCATTTGAATTGTGTAACCCTACTCCTATTCGTCGCCAATGTTACATAAAACCAAAAAGGAAATTTTATTTCTGGCGAAAAACTGAAATTTTGGGAAATAATCTTACCACACCACCTCGTGTGTTACGAATATTAATAGTGTTGGTTACACTGCATAAAGGGCGTGACATTTTATGCAAGTGACAAATAGAGATCAGACCGCAAAAAAATTTCTAAGTCGCTGAGATAAATATAAACAACAAGGCCACCGCCATCACGTGACTATGTGACAAAATTATCACCTGTACTACGTGAGGTGGTGTGGTAAGATTTACAAATTTTGGGTTACACAGGGTTCCATAAAAGGAAATTGTCAGTTACACAAATTTCCAAAAAAGGAAATTTTGTCTTCTGTTACTTTTCAGAAAAATTAAAAATTGTGTTGCTCAAATTTCCAAAAAAGGAAATTCTTTGCAGATCTTTTAATTCTGGCCGGAATTACATATTAACTGTTGTCGTAAATAACAGGTGAACACTAGTTTTATATTAAAAATAATATACTGAGTTTAATAAAAATTAAAAAGATACTATTGACAGATAATTAATAAAACATTGAAAAAAAAAAATGAAATTTCATCAAAAAAAAATTTTTGTTTATTTATTTATATAAAATTGTGAAATGTAGTACAAAATTAACACTTACCGTTAGTGAAAATAAAATAAAAATTAATTATAAATTCAATATATAATATTTTAAAAGATTATAACTAATTTTCACCTGGAGTGATATCTCTCGGGTGATATTACTTATCGATTTTATTATAATTTAATAAGTTTAAATAGGTGATTTAACCTAGGTGATTTCACCTATTAATTTTATTAATAAATTTTATTTTAATATAGGTGATATCACCTGAAAAACAAAATTAAATATTTTGCGATGATATAATGTTTACATTGATTGTGGTACTATTGTTAGGGCAGTGACATTTATTACGTAATATCTATTTACTATAAGCCCATACTCCCCCACCCCCATGTAATATGAAAAATCTTACGTTATACTTATATGTTATATGACCTTTAAATACCCTCCCACCCCCTAAAATATTACGTAATAAATGTCACTGCCCTTATACCGCATTGTTATCGTTATTGTATTTACGAACTATTTCAAAAATTCTCACTCTGATTTCGTTAAAAAAAACTTTTATCTTGTTTCACTTCTCTAAAGAATTAGTTTCCGAATAAAATTAATAAAATTAGTATCACTTTTGTTTCTATTTGCTGATATCACTTACATAAAACTGCAATACAGAACTTTAAAGTCACTTACAATGGAAAATATAGTTTTAAATACAAACTTTTCTTATAATAATTTGTATGATAGTTCTGACCCACTATTTAACTCTTATTATGACTCTTCATATAATGATTCTGATCTTTTATCGAACTCTCACTATAATTCTTCAGTTGATACTTTTAACCCGCTATTTAATTTCTCATATGATTTTTCTGACTTGTTTCTTAAAAATGATGAGATAGCTAATGAAATCCAAATAGGAAATGAAAGTTTAGTAGATTTTTTAAAAGATCATATGAAAGACCGTCAGAAAGATAGTGAGTATTATGATCAACGAATCTAACCTGTTATTGAATTTTTCAATACTTAATTTCTTACATGATTTTCTGATCCGTTTCTCAAAATCATGAACAGATAACGAAATTCAACTAGGAAACGATATTATAGGAAATTATTTGGATGATCATCAGGAAGAAAATAGTGAGTACTACGATCAAAAATTCTAACCTGTTATTCTGTTCTTATTATTTGATTTTCCCAATCTGATACTTGATTTCTCATATGATTCTTTTAATCTATTCCTTAAAAATTATGAACAGATAACGAAAATCAAACAGGAAATGAAAGTATAAATACCGTAAGAAATCATTTGAAAAATTATCATCATGAAGAAGAATATGACGATAGTGAATATGAGAGTGAGTATGAGAGTAAAGAAGAAAACGGATTAGAATTAAATCAAGGAAAAGAATTTAGTTCATGGGAACTTGCTGAGTCATACCTTGACAAATATGCAAAACAACAAGGATTCTGCCTTCGTAAAAAAAGGCGTATACCAGATCCAAATGATAAAACAATTACTAGACGCAGAACGTATGAATGCTCACATGTCCAAACACATGAAACTCAAAAGACTATCTTAGTGGAAAATAGGAGGGATAGAGATTCTGAAATGATTGGATGCTCTTGGCATATTAATCTTGCATTTCCTAAATCTTCAAATGGTGTTCAGATTAACAGTATAATTGGTAAACACAATCATGATATGAACCCACTTGTTGGTGAAATAGCACCAAAATATCGAAAATTAACTGACAAAATGATTGAAAAAGTTAAATTTTGAATGATTTAAGGCAAAATGGACATATCAACTCAATACAATCTCCTGGTGGCCTTGTTTCCAGATAAAGTAATTAACAAAAAGGATTTAAGTAACGCTATTCAGCAATTTAAAAAACAAGCAAAACCTAATAAAAATGATGCATGTCAAATGCTTACCGATTTATATTTGAAGAAAGAAATTGATTCAAGATGGATTATAAAGCTGCGTTTTGACCTTGATGAAAGAAGGTTAAATTCATTATTTTGGATGTCTCCTGACCAAGTAAATGCTTATGTAAGATATCATGATATTGTAATTATTTATACAACATCAAAAACTAATCAATTTGATATGTTGTTGATGCTAATTATAGTGGTTGATAATAACTTCAAAAGTTTAATAGTAGCAGCAGCTGTTTTTGAAGATGAGACTGAAGTTACTTTTTCGTGGTTTTTACAATAATTAAAAAATTCATGTGACTTAACACCAACAGCCCTATATTTTGATGCTGATCCGGCCTTAATAACGGCTGTAAAAAAAAATTATTCAGTAACACAGCATTTTCATTGTATTTTTCATATAGATTTGAATTTAAGAAAAAAACTTAAAGGAAAATTACACGATCAATTTGAACTTTTTCGTGCTAAATTTTTAGCAATGCGTAATTTTTTATGCCATAAAAAGTTTGAAATAGAATGGAAAGCACTTACCGACAAATTTCCAGCTTGTGAACAATATCTTACAAGAGTTTTATATCCTTGTAAACGTAGTTGGGCAAGTTACGCTATCAACCAAAATTTTACTGCAGGGATTCAAAGCACACAACAGGTAGAAGTAATGAACAAAATAATTAAAGATAAATTGAATAGATCTTCATGTTTAACTGATGTTGTTAAAGAAGTTCAAAAAACATTTGATCAACAATCAAAAAAAGCAATACTAAGTGAATGTAAAAATGAAATTCCAACAAAAGGAATACCATCTATAATGGATGAATATTTTCCAGAACTTGATAAGATTTTGCGAGAGTATTTGATACCACAAATTCTTCAAAAACAACATGATCAAATGGCTCAATCATTATACTATGATACAATATTGATTAAAGATTGGTTGCCACTTTTGGACGTAAGTTACTAATAGTTAATTAAAGTGAGAACTTAATGTTAGTATTAATTATACATGCCACCCAAATTATTTTAAACTGCTGTAATTATAAGTAAAATCCCAAATTCAATTATGGCATCCCAAATTATTTTGGCACTTTACATAGTAAATTATATATAAACCGAATGAATTATGACATCCCAAATTATAATTATGGCAGGACCCCAGAAAATGCTTATATATGTAAGGTACCAAGGTGCTTAGCCAACATAGAAAAATTTTATGATGTAAGAATTTTATAATGCTTAATTTTAAGAAAATTTTATACTATGTAAGATAATTAAATTGCATATTTTTGGTATTATTTTAAAATACTAAGAGTTTCTAGTTGCTTATTTTTCATATTTATAGAACTTTTTAAATTATTATATATTGAATTTATAATTAATTTTTATTTATTTTCACTAACGGTAAGTGTTAATTTTGTACTACATTTCACGATTTTATATAAATACATAAACAAAAATTTTTTTTGATGGAATTTCAGTTTTTTTTTTCAATGTTTTATTGATTATCTTTCAATAGTATCTTTTTAATTTTTATTAAACTCAGTGCATTATTTTTAATATAAAATTACTATATTATACATGTTTATTTTGTTAAATAAAATTACTGTAAATATGTTTTACTTTAAAATATAATTTCACTACTTACCACTTTAGTTATATCAAATTATCTTTTATGCTTAAGTAAGGTTATTCAGCAAGTTAAATCTACTTGTATTTTAATTTTCATAAGGCTAAGTATGATATTTATATAGAAAAGCATATTTTTTTTAACGGTAATAACTACTTTTTCGTTTATAACTTCAGAGCGTAATTACACTACTTCAGTCAAATGAAATCGACTTTCTAAATTAATTGAAAATTGTTCAGCAAGGTCAAAAATACCTACATATTAATTTTTATAGGTATAAGTATAATACTTATGGAGAAATTTACATTTTTTGTAATAGTATTAATTTCGAATTTTTCTCTTACTGTTTATTAACTTTATTAATTGAATATTATTAATCTACTTGTATATTATGTTTAGTTTTATAGCTTCACAACATATTTAAAATTGGATTTAATAAAATATATTAATTAATAAATATATTTTATAAATTATATGTGTTATAATAAAAATTTAATTAGGTTAGAAGATTGATTTGCTTATTTTTATATAATTTTTAAGGTTAGATATCAACAATGCTTAGCGATCATAGTAAAAACCTGTGCTTAGAGCTACTAATAAAAAATATTTTTTTTTTTTAGATTGGAAATGATTTTTATCAACAAAAAATGGCTAGAGAAGATGATTATGACCAACCTCAATCTCTATTTTCTTCATTAATTGAAAATATATCACACAATAGTATTCAGCAAGTATGGAAAGTAACTAGACATCGTGGACAAAAATCAGAACCACAATATGTTATTCTTCTTGATGATAGTTCACATTTATGTACTTGTCTTTGGCTTATTAATAGAGGAATTATATGCAGGCACTTTTTTCGGGTTATGTCTTATTCAACTACTGCACAGTTTCATATATCACTTGTTTCTCAATGATGGTATAATAATAGTAAATATAATGAACATGAGAAAAATGTAATGCCAATATATCATATTGGAGAAAATAAGTTGAGTGAGTTAGAACAGCCCATACCTCAATTATCATTTCAACATCTCGCAAATTTTAGGCAAACTCCTAATATTGTACAACTGCAGGGTCCTAAACAAAAGTATAGATTTGGTATGGGATATGCTAAAAAAGCTCTTGATTTGCTATTCGAACTGATAAAGTTGATGAATTTGTCAATCAAGTAAAATGTTTTATTGAAAATACAAAAGTAGAATTATTCGAACATCAGGAAAATATAGTTTCTATGCATATTGGTAATCCATTAAGAGTACAACATAAAGGTAGATAATCTAATAGGTACAGATCATGTGGTGAACCCAAAAAAAGAAAGCAAGGCATATGCGAAATATAACTAATATCACTAATAATGAAAATGAAGAGAGAGTTGTAGCAACTCAAGCTGGTAAAACAAGAGAAAGATATTGTAAAAAATGCCATCAAACTGGTCATTATGCCCCACAATGTCCAAATGTTTAATAATTTTTTTGAGATGTATAGGTCATTTTATTAAATATCATATAATAATAACAGATAATAAAATTTTTTATATGAGTGAATTACCGACTATTTTTTTTTTCAAGTGAAATCATCTGATTTACAATTAAATTTTTATAGGACATGAAATCACCTGATTTTTTTAATTAAATTTTTATAGGACGTGAAATCACCTGATTTTTTCAATTAAATTTTTATAGGACATGAAATCACCTGGGTGAAATCACCCTAAGTGATCTTTACTCGGAGAGAAAGTTAGCAACAGTCTTAAAATAATACCAAAAATATGCAATTTAATTATCTTACATAGTATAAAATTTTCTTAAAATTAAGCATTATAAAATTCTTACATTATAAAACTTTACTATGTTGGCTAACATCAGTAAATTTTTTGGAATATAGATTCTTAAAGATTCCATAAATTACTTTAGAATCCTTAAGGATCTGTAATTTTATGGATTCTTTAAAAATCCATACTGATTTGTAAAATACCCTTAAGGAATCTATAAGTTTACAGATCCTTAAAGATTCTTTAAAGATTCCATATAAAAAATCCTTATATATTCCTTATATCTAAATCTTTAAAAAATTTTATTTTTATTTTAAAATTAAAAAATTACGTGTATCACGTGTTATAATCTTAATGTTTAATGATCGGCCATCTGATATCTTGATATGGAATTTTTTTTTTACAAAACTTTCGTCTTTATTCCCTCTCTCACCTTTTCCCTTTCTCGTTCTATTTCTTTACCCTATTCTTTTCCCTCTCTCTACAAAATCCATAATGAAACATTAAATAATGTTTCGCTATTTTTTTAGTCAGCAGTCAGATTTTGGTAAGGTTTTTTTTATATATTTAATTATTTCTTTTAATGAGCAGGTTCTAATTCATTTTTTTGTTTTTTTTTTCTAGACGGTTTTTTTGGATTACTTTGAAGGTGATATTCTGGTAAGTTTTAAACTTTTTTTTCCTTTCTTTTAATGAATAGTTTCTAACAGTTGTTTCTTTTTTTAGACGGTTCTTTCAGATTTTCTTGCGGCAAGTTTTTTTTTACAATTTTTTTTATTTTAACGAAACATTAACTAATGTTTCATTTTCATTTTTCTTTTTTTAGACGGTCAGGTCTTTTCTTTTTAGGTTCTTTCAGATTTCCTTTGCATGTGGCATTTCGGTAAGCTTACACTTTAATTTTTTATTTATTTTAATGTTATGTTGCCTTAACTAACGTTTCATTTTATTTCCTTTTTTTTAGACGTCCTTTTTTTCAGGTACTTGAACATGGATTTTGGCAAGTAAAAAAATATTATTCATTTTTTCATATTAATGAATATTATTAACTATTCTATTTTTTTTTTTTTGGGTTTGGATATTCGAATAGGACTTTTACAAGTAAACAAAAAAAATTTCATTTTTTTTATATTAACAAACATTACTAACTGTTCGTTTTTCTTTTTTTTAGGTAATTTTGAGCCTTTTTGGATGTGAAATACTGGCAAGTAAGAAAAAAAATTATTTTTTTTCTTTTTATTTATTTTAACGAACATCACTAACTGTTCATTTTCTTTTTTTTTAGGTGGTTTTGAGCCTTTCTAGACGCGGAATACCAGTGTGTAAAAAAAATTATTTTTTTTCTTTTTGTTTATTTTAACAAACATTACTAATTGTTCATTTTTTCTCTTTTTTAGGAATTTTTTGATGTGGGATACCAGTAAGTTTCATAAAAAATTTGTTTCAATTTTTTTTTTATTTTGACAAATACTAAATATTCATTTTTTTTTCTTTTTTAGGTGTTTTTTCAACTTGGATACTGGTAAGTAACAAAAAAAGAAGTTATTTCAGATTTTTTTATATTAACGAGCATTACTAACTGCTCATTTTCATTTTTTTTTAGGTGTTTCTTTTTTAAATATCTCTGGACGTAAAATACTTACAGAATAATGACAAAGGAAAAAAGATATCGAAGATGACATCTTTCGGATTAATTTCAGTATTAGACACGCACTATAAGTTGTTTCAACAAGTGTATTGAAAACAAAAAAATTCAATTTTTTCTTTTCTTTAGATAGAATGGGTCATTAACACGTTAGAAACTGGTGGGGAATTATTTAAATTTTTATTTTACTGTAGCAAAATATCTACTAATGTTTGATTTTTTTCTTTTTAGATGGCCATTTCTTTTGATTTCTTTAGACGTGTGGAAACTTGGTAAGTGAAGGCTTCTTTAAATTATTTATTTTAATAAAACGTTTATTAACGTTTCAATCTTTTTCTTTTTTTTAGACGAGTAGGTTTCAATAGGGGAATACTATCGCTTGCTATAGATCAGCTATTAGTGAATCCATGAACAGATTGATACTTTTTCAATTGGAAATCACCCAGATATTGTAAAAGTCATGCAAGCAATTAGGATCGATAACCCTCCTGCTTCAAAATCAAATGACGCTATTGACATTATACCATGATCTGGGTATCGATTAGAGAGAAAATAATTTAATAATAGGTAAGTTTCATTGCGAAACTTCAATTGCTTCCTTTTTAATAAAAGCGTTAAATGATGTTTAATTTTTTTTAGGTTGTCTGGATATCAACAGAAGAATTAAGAAAAAGCAATAAGTTTCATTGTGAAACTTACATAATTATTTTTTTTTAACTTTATTTATTAGTTGTTTTTATATTTTATATTTAAATTATTGTTTTATTTTTATTAACTAGAGAAATACATAATATATACAATAATATTAAAGATAAATAAATACACATTAAATATATAAATTAATAAATAGATTTTAATAAAAATCAATAAATAATCTATTAATAAAAATTAAATAAATATCCCTAAGGATTCTTTCCTATCCTTAGGGATTCTTTAAACTTTTTTAATTCTAAGGATCCATTGAGGTGGAGAAGGATTCACGTGAATCTTTACTATTTACGGAAAATAAGGATTTCACGTAGATCCTGACTTCTAAAACATTACCGATGAAGCACCTTGGTACCTTACATATATAAGCATTTTCTGGGGTCCTGGCAAAATAAAGTGTGTTTCCAAAGTTAGATTTTATGTCTAATTTTCAATAATTAATATATATGCTATATATATACCAATCATATCTGACTTTAAAGCCTTAAGCAAAGTCACAGATCTTTAGACAAAACTTGAAACTTTTACAGTATATTATTTAGGTATTCAAGAATAAATGGCTAAAATAAATATCAGTCACTGGAAATGTCACATGCAGATCATTTTCATATTAAAATTATTTTGTGTAACATTGAGCAAATTATGTTATTTTATAGTTAAATGCTAAATTCCAATATACTATATTTAGGGGTCGTCTAAAGCGGAGTCAAATCACGTGATTCGATATAATATAAGTGAACTAATTTTTTTATGAATCAAGTTTAACATAAACTTGAAAATCATAAAATAAGTGTATTTTAGCCTGCTCTACGAGTTTACTTAAGGTTAAAAGGTAGATTTTGAATACTGGTTTTCAC